GAATCTAAAAATTATGGACCTGGAACCGAACCGTAGCCCGGTTCCGGTTCGGGTCCGGGTATTCGGTTCTATTTTGCAGAACACTAGCTATAATATCTGGATTTAATTGCTATAATGTCCAAATAGATTGCTATAATGTCCAAATTTGATTGCTGTAATGTCTGAAATTGGTATACAAAACCTGTAAAATTTAGAAAATTGGTTCAATATAAAAATTCAAATTTTATTTAAATATAATTATTTTAAAAACTGTAGCATAAATTTTTCAAACTTTTTTTTTATTTAAAAAATATAGATTTAATTAATTTATATTTTTATTTTCAGCTTAATATCTTATTTATTTAGCTTTATACTAGCTGAAAACCTGTACAATAATGCATAGAGATAAATATATCTAGTCTAGAATAAATAATAAAATATAAAATTTATATAGTATTTATTAAGATAATTAAAATAATTTTTTTTTTTTTTTTTTTTGGTATTAAGGTGATCTCTTTGGCCGGAGAATGTTTTATTAGATAGTTATGTTTTTCAATTACAGTAAGGGTACATATAGCCACACGTACACCTTTTGAATGCCTAATTTAAGTAGTCTGCCCGAAGGTTCTACACTATCTGCTGTACCTATACCCCAACTAGGGAAGTACCCATTTAAACCCTCTACTTCCAAACCAATGGATACTACCTAACCTGAGGCGTAGCTTACTATACACAGGTAGTTCACTACTGCCTAATCTGATTTTGTACCTACCTTAGGACTTACTAACCCAATGAGGCTAATCTATCCATGAGGTAAATCTAACAGAGTGGTCCACATCCTACACGTGTATTTATCTGCATGTTCGGTAATTTCTTCCCAATTAGTACATATTGTCTGCTGCTATTATGTTCGTATCTCATGCCACCTTTTTGGGGTGCTGCTGTAACACAATCCATATCTCAAGCACAACCTTCCTAATTAGTCTTCTGTTACGTACTCCTGCCCTTGTATTGGTTCACAACAACCCCAGTACCCACATTCGAGCCGTCTCTTTACCCAGATTCTTTATCGGTCCATCCCTAACTTCCAGCCGGCAACCCAGAAGGGTTGGTCTGCCTAGGCTTTAGGTGCCTGAAGGACGCCCTTCCCTTGGTCCATACTTTCGAAGCATATAGCCTTTTTCTCCAGTGCGTCTAAACCGGCGGTTCAGCTGGTGTGTCACCCACTGATTGCTCGGTTCTCCAATCTCTGGCTCCGGTTCAAATTCAGCCTTCATGTAGTATCATCGAAGATCACTGCTATCTCCAAACTCGGGACTTCCCAAACGGGCTTCGATCTCCGGTCCTGTGACCTGTGCCAAGCACAGCTCACAGATTACAGCCTTCCGGAATCACCTCAACAGTGCCACCAGACACCGTCTCGACAGGTCCTCTATGGGCCAACCTTAGTGAAGATCATCACAGACTTTTCCCATATTACAAAAGCACCGTCCCTGGGATTTGAACATGGGATCTTCCCATAACATTTGGTAAGGGTGACAACTAGACCACTTCACTAAGTCGCCACACCTCTTACTTTATAATTACTATAATAACCAATACTAAATAAATAAATAATTTTAATATTTTATAAATATTTTTTTAAATATGTGTAAAAAATTACTTAAATTTAATACTTTTTAATTGCTATAATAATCAATACTAAATAAGCATTTAATTAGATGCATATATGTAATAAAATTATTATAATTTAATATATTTTTATTAACTATACTATATATATAATTAAATATAATTCACATATTTTATTCTGTTAAAATGCTCATCTCCTATAGCTAAAACATTTGACTAGACTAACCACGATGGCCATCAGTTCATGGTGTTGAGGTGATAAATTATTAGCACAAAGTAGAAATCAAAAGTTCTAGATAATTAAAATATATATTTATTTAATGCATGATTATTTTTCTACTTTAAAAAAAGAACTATAAACAACTCTGGGATCTTGGTTACAATTATCAACACAGTATTGATGTTAAGAAAGATGAAAAGAAGGCTTTTGAATATTATATAAAAGCAGCTGAGTTAAGAAATACGAATGCAATGAATAATGATAGTAGTTGTTATTATTATGGAATTAGTGTAAAAATAAATTACCAGAAATCATTTGAGTATTGTAAAAAATTCGCTAATTTGGACAGTATTATTGGATTGTATAAAGCCGATTTCGTTATGAAAATGGAAAAGGGGTCGGTCAAGATTATAATAAAGCATTCTCATATATTATAAAAAATCTGTTAATATGGGTATTGCTAACATTGTTGACTTTATCGAAGCAGCATCAGCACAAAAAGAAGTCTTTTGAAAACTAATAAATCACCTGATAATCTGAACTTAAGAAATATTAGATGATGAGAGATTTAAAAAATCAAAACCTATTTTTTAGATCGTAAATAAGATGTTGATTGAGTATCGACGAATTTTGTGATTGATATCCGATGTATACTTTATACAAGATATGAAAAATACCTTAGCCGTGGTAGAAAAAAAATTCAAGAGTGTGAATCCAATAATCTGATCTAACGCATATCAACCAAATTTTGCAATATAGAAAAAAAAAAGCTCACTCAAATAACATTATGCAGATTTGTCATCTCTTCAATATAAAGAACTTCGTCTTGCATAATCAACCGTTGATTCTTACTTTCCTGAAATACCATTTTCTCGACCTCATAGTTTCGATATTCCTTTTTCCCGACAAGACATATTTCTGGTGGTATGTTTTACTTGGAAATTTTTTTTTAAATTTTTTACCGAATTTTTTTTTTCTCAACACAACCAATTCCTCAACAACCTAAATTTCTGAAAAATTTTATTCAACAGACTTTTTCACCTTTCTCCAAACTCTTGTTCCCAGACAAAAAAATTTTCCAAAGCCTTTTTACCAAATATTTTGATATATTTTCCTAAAAGGATATTTATCTGAAAAGATATTTCTCAAAAAGAAGTTTTCCAACAAGAAGTTTTTTCGATTGAACAAAATTGTATAAATTAGCCAACTCAACATAAACCAGGCTAACTTTGTTAGTGAAATGGCTGTCAGTGAAATATTTGTTGGAAATTTAGTTTATACCTTTTTTCGGGCTATCAGGATCCAGAATTTACCATAAATTCAGAAAATATCCTTCGGTAAAAGAGTTTTCAATAATATATTTTCAAAAAAATAGAATGTCAGAAAAATGTACCACCATTTGGATAAATAGCATGTTAGTAAAATAGACATTCATTTTTTTAATATTCGGTGAAATGGAAATTGCAGATAAATGACTTACCAGTAAAGTTTATTATTAATTAAATAATATTCGGTAAAATGAGACTTTTGGAATTATGTCTTGTTAGTAAAATGAGATGTCAGTATTATGACTTCGGTGAAATGGTATTTCAGTAAAATTGATTTCGGGAATTTAACCCGTAACCTAGATCAACAGCTAAAGTAAATTATATCATTTATTGTTATTCGTTATTATAATAAAAAAAAAATTTGCTTAGACTTTCATTTGTTTTTTAATTGGATTTCTGACACAAAAATCATAATAAACAAATTGTGGTTATTCTAAAAAAAAAAATCTTTTTAATTAACAGTAAGTAAAAAATTCAAATTACTATAGATGTATTACAATTGCCATTGTATCTTAAATCTAATTATAATAATTGGACAAAGCAGTCTCCTATATGTGAATCTCTAGTTGCAGTTCATTTTGTAGAAGGAAATACTTATTGCTATTATCTTAATTAAACTCATCATCAATCCCTCGCAGCTTTTTTTTTAAATCGTTATATACCTTTCACATATAATTCATATAATTATGTACATTCACATTTATAGGTACCAATCTTTTTTTTTAAAGCTTTTGGTTCTTTCTCTCTACTATATTATCACCATGATCTTTATTTCGCTTTTGTTAATATTTGAGTCTCATCTATATGAAAACTATACACTTACTAATAATCAATCTATATGGCTCCAAGTGACTAGAACCACACTGCTTATATGTTATGAGTTGCGCTTTCAGAATCATTACTTTAGAATAAGCACAAGTGTAAGTTACAATTTTCGTGATATAAACCAGTAAATCTGTAAACCAAGAAATAATATTAACAGTCGCTTAAAAAATAATAACTTCTAATTATCAAATTGAACTTAAAAAAAAAGTTTCAATTTCTTTGAGACTCAGATTCGATTTCACTAAGAGTTCTATTATCACCTTTCTATGGTAATGATTTTTATCATCTCTTGATATTCCATAGTATTTTAAGAAGAACAGATTTTCGTATCTGATTTCACAATATGTTTTCTACTATAATTAGATAAAAATTTAAATCATTAGCGTTAGTATTACTTCATTTAATTCTTAATTACATTTATATTATCTCATCGACAAATTTTTTTACATTACTTTTAAATTCATAATCTAGAAAACGCCTATTTTTGAAACAATCCATTTACTATAAGAATTATATAATAAAAACTTAATTTTTCATGTATACTATTATAGTTAGACTATACGATTTTTCCCTATTCGCTCTCCTGTCAATAATAGTAATTATCGAAGGGTGAAAAATTGAAAAAAAATAATGATAAGGTAATTTAAAAATTATACATATATAATTAAATAATAAAAAGGCTATGTATATAAAGGATATTTACCTGATAAGATAGCGCAAAAACCATTTTAATGCTATATCGTTAGTACTAATACTAACTCTAATTTATTATAATGTTTAACAAGTTAAACATTATATACAAACAATTTAAATGTTTAGGATAGAATTTATATATATTCATATGATATTTGATTAACACGTATATATATTAGTTTTTAATAATTAATATATCTATTTACGAAAAAAATATCTGATTCACTGAACTTTGGTATGATATGCACTATGTTTGCAATTGAAGCGATAGGAATTAAAGTATAATGTTCAACATGTTTAAGAACTGCGCATTTATAAAAATGTCAATTATTTATATCAGATGGATATGCAAAGTCATACCAATAAACAAGTGCAAGCTCAAGTTTCTGGTCTAATTTTGGTGAAGTGATCCGAGTAATAAGAAGTATCTAAAATACAATTACAAAATTGTTGTTACACTATTTATATTTTTGTAAAAATTTTTTTTTAATATATACATTTGCATAACATAAGCCATTATCCATTAAATAATCTTCTTGTTCTAATTCATCCATTTCAATACAGATATCTGAAAAAATTGCTTGATTATGATAACTCGAAGATGCACGAATAATTATTTTATCATCATTGTTCAGATAAGCAAAATCAAATACTTCGATTAAAACTGTATTATACTTAATATTTTGTAATGACCAATTTTCAATACTTTGAAGGTAATCGTAAATGCAGTGTTTAAGTTGTTTAAAGCCACACATCCATAGATTGTCTGTATTTGGTAGCTAGTTTATAGTTTGATCAACTGCATGCAGTATTATTTGCTTGATAGCTTTTCGTGAAATTATTCCTTGATATGAACTATTAGATTTTGATCGAAACTTTGATACAAAAGACATAAAAATGTTTTAACGAGCAACCTTAGAGAATTAAAAAAAAAAAAAAAAAACCAACAGTAAGTTAAGATTAATTTATTTTATAAAACATCACATGCAAAAAGACTTACTTACTATTGCCTGTATTTGTGTATTTATATTATGTTTATTTGTCATACGATATAGTTGTTTAACATTAGCTTTATGTAACAATTTGTATGTTTTACTTGTAAATCCATTAATGGCTCCGAACTGATATATTGATGGTATTAGATGAAACTGCCAGCTATGTAATTTAGAGAGATTTAAATTGGACGGTGAAAATCCTGATATGAGTTTGATAAATAGATCGCTCTATGTGACAATAGATTCCTGTAAAAAAAAATATATTTTATTTATTATTTATAATAATAAATTGGATTAAATTATTTATTAATGAACCTACCTCAAATTTGTCAAGATCCAATTTAGTATATTTAGACTGACAGCTCCATATGTACATGTCAATCCAAAATGAATAAAGGTCGCACAAATTTTTATTGAGTTGTTTGTCTATAATTAATTCATTCAAGACAAATAACATTATTTTCATTAAATCTCGATATTCCGCTGCAGTTAACTGATTAAATCTTTCAATTCCATTTTTAAAAACTTTAAGATTTGGATAGCGAGGAATTCGGGTAAGACGCTCTTCAAGAATCTTTATCACATTACTACTATACTTGGAATTTATAAGTTCAACAGTAAACTTTAATTAATATTTGAAAAGTCCTAAATCTGTATGATGCACACGATCTGGTACACACATGGTATAGACGTTAAAGTATCTACGTACAAATAGATTTGTTATTACATATTATAAAAATAAATATATTGTTAACTATATAGTTAAATATATAGAATTACTTACGGTCGCTGCCATAAGGCATTTTTCATATGATGTACCGAGATTTGTTTACTATTACTCTGGCATAAAAAATTTTTAGTTGTCTTCTCATCATGAATAATTATATTTTCCTTTTCAAGATAAATATTATTCATTGTATTACAGTTTACTAAGCAGAAGTGACATGGGTGTAAAGAATTTGGCAATCCATAAGTAGTACACATTGTACATGCTTCGGGCCAATATGAAATTATAAGTGCCAAATATGGAAAAAACTATTTGATACTGCCATTAATATTCAGATAAATACTATTGTTACTTAAAGATCTTAACGGCCAAAGCATTGCTGCAAGTGCGTGCTGAAAAAGTTTGCATATTGCTAACCTAAATTGGGCTAATTGCTTTTTAGATACACTACTATATTCAATAGTAGGAATATAACCAAGTAAAATTTTGTATCAACTTTGTTACGACAAGCTAAAGGAATATTTCCAATTGTTATGAATACAGAATGTCTCAATGTCTTGCCTAAATGATCGCAGAGAGTGGCATCTGAGTAAAGAATGATTGGCATCACATATGCTCCAATTGGAATATTTTGTTTCACGTTTCTCCACCAGTCAGAATCATATATATCTGAATATTGACGCTGACCAGATACCTTTAATTGTAAATAAAAAAAAAAGTAATTAACAAAAAGTTAATAAATTTAAATAATTATATTTACTTATACTATCAATAGATAACTTATATTCAAATATAAATTCTTCGGCAATACTCTTGTTTATTAGGATTTGATGTATTCCATCCAGTACTGTTCTAAACTCAAGGGTATATTCTAACCCTTCATACTCTAAAATAGTTTCTTTTCGCCAACCAAAGTTTGGAAGATCAAGATTCTCAATAAACATTTGTCCACTTTGTGAAGTTGATGGCAATAGATAATCGTCTCAATTGGAATATTTATTAAAAAATTGGATAAATGTATTTGCAAGTTGATCTTGAACCTGAAATTGTGATACGATATTCATAAACTCTGCATATTCTTTTGATGGAAACCTTTGGTATATGTCTTCAGGTTCTTTTGTTTTTCCAGCAAGCAAATTATCATACTCAGCAAATTCATTAATATCAACATTTGTAATGTCTAATAAATCAGATTATTCATCCAATATATTACTTCGAGAATCATCTGATGTATTACTTTGAGAATCATATAAATCCGATTGTTCATCCGATGTATTACTTTGAGAATTACTATTATCAAAAAATTTAGCATCTTGTTTTTCACTAGATTTATAATATTGAGTATCATTTATGTAGTTAAAAGATGAGACACTAGGATTTTGTTTTTTAATAGATTCATCTACATTAAAGTTGACCTCTTCTAAACTGTTACTTAAGTTATGCTCAAAACATATTTTCTTATAATTCGTTTCTGTTTCCTCAGAAAAGTTTTGCCTTTTAAACTTGGTTTGATTATTAAGGACTTTGTTTGTTATTTTACCTAAACTTGTTTGAGCTGCTTGATTTGGCAAAGAGAAATCTTCATCACTATCATCTAAATGTTTTTTTATATGATTCCCTAATGCCTGTCGACTCATTAAAATCTTACTACAATATGGACAATTCGGCATCTTGAATAGTTTACTAAAATGCAATTGTCACGCAAGTTATAATAGATCTAAACCATGCTTTAGAACTTAACGTCACACACAGTGTAATATTTTTTCTATTTCACATTCTAAAGTTTTATCCTGAAAGCTCTATACGGTTTTTTCTATTTCACTTACTTCAAAGTCTATCCTCAATGCTCTATACTAAAATCAAACACTCCACTTGCAAAGTACGTAATTTATTATTTTACTTATGATAAAACTTATTACCTCTATTATTGTTAATATTCCTCTTATACTATTTATACCCTCACTATATTTTACTATACAAATTGTAGTCATTTTGTAGTTTAATTTAAATAACGACAATATAATTATTATGCGGAAATTAAAATAAACTCTGCATGCATAATATGATTATATATTTGTATAATTTATTATTATGTATTTTAAAGATTATTTAATTTGTAGTAAAATATATAAAAAATTCTTAATTAGCAATCTTATCTTTTCTCAAGCGAAAATATTAGAATATATATGTACTTTTAGCATTAGAACATAAAACGTAAAATAAAAAAGGTTTACTTATAGTATGTGCAATAATTGATAATGTGAACTAACTTAAAATTATAATTCATTGTAATTTGCGCTACAGATATATATATCTTCGTTACAAGGATGGGCCGCACTAGGAAAAGAGCTATATCAACATGCAGAGGTGCTCAACATACTTTACCTTCCATTGAACTTAGTGAAGAATGAACAAACACTTCAAGCTCTCAAAGTACTTCAAATAGCTTAAGCACTTCAAGCACTCAAAATACCTCAAATGTCTTAAATACTTCAAGTACTCCAAGTGATTCAGGATCAAATATACAAACTGTCAAAAGTGTTAATATAGAAAATTCTGTAGATATGCTTTATTATGATACCAAACCAGATGATCATTTTTTAAGTGACAATGAGAATCTCACTGACAACGCTTCAAAAAATGAGTCAACCCTAGCCTATTCTAATTTTAAACGAAAAGACAGAGAATTAGTTGATGAAGATGAGAATATCAACAAAAAAGCTTGTAGGTTTATCGATCATTCATTGCTTCTGACTATGATTATTTTATATAATTGTTTACATAGTATTTCATTTAGGTCTCGCTTCAACAATTAGAAGTATGCATAATGTGCAACTTCAAATAGCAACTACGATCCAAGATATGAAACAAAAAATTGATGAGATACATGGAAATTTGAAAGTTATTTCTGCAAATTATAAAGAAAATGATGCAAAGTGGATTGAGGTACATAAGTGTTGAATTCTTCAGTCTGTCGAACATGCATGTTCGCAAAATCACATAATTATAATAATATTGTATATATGACAAATTAACTGTTTAAAATTTATTATATATTTTAAATACATTAATTTGTTTATAATAGGATGCTATTGGTGGAGCAGTTTACAAAAAAATTGGACAAGTTAAATATCCAATTGACGAACAACTTATGAAGGTGTGTTATGATGCGCTATCAGATATATACGAGGATGAGTTTCAAAATAAAATAAAAAACAGTGGATGGCCACATTTTTTTCACAAGAATGTTCGTAAAATAGTAAGTAACTTGGAATAAGTTTAGCAAAATTTATTCTCTAAAAAAAAATTTTTTTTGCGAATACTCAAATGCCTAAAATACTTGATTAACTTAGAACTTGATCAAAGATCGATTTCCAATTATTTAATGATAAATTTGATTTAGTTAGAAATCGATCTTCAGGTATTTCAGTATTCGCAAAAAAAATTTTTTTGGATTAGAAATAAGTTTAGCAAATAAGTTTTTTAGAGCAATGATATTTTATTCAACTAGTTTTTAACAAACCAAATTTTAATCATGTAATTAATTAATCTTTTCTGCCTTTACCAGGCTCAGAAGTTTGCGTACCAGGGTAGAAGCAGTATTGTTCAGCGTATAAAGGATACTGTCCATAGTGAATTTACAGAACTAGTGAAACCCAAAACTGAGAACAGGCAGATTTCACACGAAGAGGAACAGAAGTTCAAAGATGCTGATATTACATGAGAGTGCTATTTGAAATTAAACCGACCTGTTGATGCTAATAACAATCTGAATTATAGCTACTTAAATTTGATAATCGATCGTACTTTCACAGATCCGAATACTGAAAAAAATTCAATTGCATTCAGGATAGCCATTGTATTGAATTATCTCAATCCTTCTAAAGGAGTCAATATGCTTCCAAGTGATGTCGTAGAATAGAAAGAATGAACTACATTCTTGAAAAAATGCAGGTTTCAGATCATGAAGTAGTCTCATAAAAATTTATTGCTATCAATTGGTGCTTCATGTAATATAAAATATTTGTAATATTGAAGGATAACTAGCCCAATATATTTCCTACTTCTGTACTTTGGCTGAAATTATAGTTTATCATTATACGTATTATTGCTTATGTAAGTCATTTAAGAGAAAGCATTAAGAATACTCTTTAGCTGAGTTTCAATGAATTCGGGAATTCATATTTTTTGACATTAGTGATCACGGGTTTGTCAATTTTATTAAATAGGATTTACATTCGCTAATTCGACACTTTTACTCTTCTTTTCTCTTCTCTCTCATAGTTTGCGATAAAATAGAATATTTCATACCAACAAGTTTTAATACTTTTGTTATTAATAGTATATTTTTTTTCCAAAGTCAACATAGTGTTGTTAACCTTATTCTGCAGAAATTTAAATGTTGGACAAGGCCTTGGACATAAACATTGGTTACAATGTATTATGCTTTGTAAAAACAAACTGGTTCTGAATCGGAATGAGGCCAAGATACAGTTACTAATACAAAAACTATAGGCGTGAAACGGTATTATCTGAGAATGTTTTGCAATGGTAACTGGATTCAAAGCTAACTAATATTATTTCTTAATGCTTTTCTATTCTCTATGTACGACGAGGTTCAATGTACTTGATCTCAACTGATTTCGGGCCATATGTTTGGGTAATATTCCAGGATATGTCTTTTATACAAATTTTTAATAAGACGTTAATAGCCAACTCAATATAATTTTTACTAATTTATCTTCTTTTCTTAACACTGATGAAGAGCCTACGATTTTCGTGGGGTAATAAAATATGTTGATCGGTTTTACTAAAGCACAACACCTCTGCTAAATGCTTCAAAGTTTTGGATCTTGTATTGTAATTATAAGATTTATCGATACCACTTCATATTAATATTTAGAATCAATTGTTCATAGATGTTATTTTCAAAAAAAAATATATTTTTTTTAAGTTTCAATTATTTCATTTTTGCTATTTAATTCATCTGGTATCACCCCAATGGTAATCTTGGTTTTCCGGAATTGCCCGATAGATCAGCTATGTTCTGCAAAATGAAAATTAACTTGCGTGGCCTTAGATATGAACATAAATCTATTGATTTACAGTAGATTTTCTTTAAAAAAAAAAATCTGTCCCGCCGACTGGAATTTCAGAACACTAGGTTATGCAAAACGAAAAATTAACTTTGTGTGGTCTAATGTTTTACGATATGAAGCTAAATATATAATGAGAAGGTAAATACATCAGAGAGGTATATATATATTTACAAAAACCTTATTTATTTTAGACTAAAGTAATAAATTTTTATTAAACTTATTAGTGAAGAGGAATTCTTAAAGATCCATTGATCATTTATGGTCAATTATATTATTCAAGCGAAAAGTGTACCGACTTCTAGTACAAAGATCCATCCCAAATAACAAAGAGGGCGACCAAGCTCAATCTCTATCAGAAGAGATAACTGGATAAGTAAGGTACGCCAGAAAATTACTTCAATCACTGAATCACATTACATCTTTTTAGGTGGTGACGATAGTGCATCCGCAAAGGTGTGCTTCACAAAGATTTATCCAACAGATAATCAAGTGCTTAATGACTAGCTGGAATCGATTACAAATTGAAATTAACTATTAGAGCGATATTTGCTTCTATATGAATCTTGAACGTTAATGTTTTTTTTTTGCAAAAAGTATTGGTCACTGCATAATGTGCGGATTAGATGATCATAGTTCAAGTATAGGTAAGAAAACGATGCTTCGAAATATATTTATCAATTCATATTTATACTTTATATTAATCAAAGTATAATTTGATATATATATAATATTAGAGTTGTTACAAGATAAAGAATATTTATTAATCAATAAGCTTTTTATGATTATTTACTATTACATATACTGAGCTATTTTTTTTTTTAATTTTTAATATTTCTATCGATCGCCTCCTAAGGGCAAGAAATTACAAAAATTACAGAATTGAGTATTAGTATCGAAACCAGTCATAGATATGTTAAGTTAATTTTAATATAGTACATATCTACTTTTAATTTCTAATTATTTTTAACTTAATTTTATTTCCTTTTTATATATGTTTCCAAGACATTCAACCGGTTCTGATATTTAATTTTCAAGTTGGCATTTTCATAGATTGAAAATCGTGATATTATAGTGTCGAAACATTTAAAGGTTATATCCAATTTTTATGACATCATTTCTCCATTAGGCCATTTTAGCTGACATCACACAAAGTAAGAAATTACCAAAAAAATATATCTGCTATAAAAATGCAGGAAAAAAAAAAAATAGAACAAATAATTCTAACTTATCTGATGTCAGGTAGATGCTTGTCAGTGAAGTGTTCATCAGGATAGAGGTTTGATCTGGTCGAAAAATAAGTATTTGAATATTCATTCGTTTAATCTTTTTAATAACCGAATATTCATCAGCAAATTTCAATGAATATTGAATATTTACAATGACTATGAAATAGAGTTGTTGATTTGGAACAATAATGAATTACAGTAAGACAGTATTATGAAGTTGAATAATTGAGAGTTTAAATACACAAGCTAACAAATGAATTTTATACTTACAAGCTACATTAAAAAATAAATAAATCAATAGAGAAACTTGTCATCGACTTTGGGCTCATAATTATTAGCATTGCCAACCAATAAGTATATACCCAATTTTGCATTTAATTGGTTGATTAGATAGTATATACAGTTTCACCTCTCTAAGTGTACACTCTTGAAACCATAGTAAAAAAAAGGCAAAATGTGCACTTGGAGAGGGTGTGCGTTTTGAGGGGTTAAAATTTATAATTATCGTATTACTTGGGACTAAAGGAGTGTGCACTTAGGGTATTCATATTTGTATATTCGAATATGCTATTCATCGAATTAGATCTCTATATTAGGAAAGTGATCAATGATCATTAGTTGTATAGTCTTTAACTTTGGAGATACGATTTTATGAATTTAAATATGAAAGCAAAAGTGCTTTTGTTATATATGAATTTTTTGAATTTTGGGTGATTTTTTGATTAGTTTATAGCATTGTTGTAGTTTTATTTAAGTTATAGTATAAAATATATTTTTTATAAATAAATATATTATAAATATTTTTTATAAATATAGATATATTAAAAATTTGTATAAAATTGGTATATATTAATAAATATATATATTGTATTATAAGTACTTTATATAAATATAATTTATATACTTTTGTAAAATATAAAATTTATACTGTATTATTAGTAAATATATTACTATATAAGTGTTTGAAATAAATGTTTTTTTTATACTATATTATAGTATTAAAATAATATTAGTGTTGAATAATTAGTTATTGAATACTAATGCTTATTTGATATAAGGTATGTTGAAATTGATTTAATAAGTATTTATAATAAGTACTTTTAAAGTAATTAGCAATTACTTAATAAGTACTTAGATATATTTGCAGATGTAGTAGTACAGTAACCTAGTATATATATTTCTATATATTTTGAGGTTTTTCTTTTGTGATATTATAGTTCTTAGACTACTACACCCTACTTGTATATAAAGCTTCATTTGGCTGCTCTATGATGCCTAAGTATAATCATTTATCTACAGATTTTTCTTCCCTTTGGCCTCTAACTTATTAGATGATTCCCCTCTGGATTAACAGAAAGCCATGCTTATAGGGATATTAATGGAGTAATATACTCTGTAGTAATCCTGGAGTATAACCCACTTCATACCGGTATAGTTTTGGCATGATACCACCTCGGGTTATTAAGATACTAGTAATAGGAGTAAAATACTCTAGAGTAGTACTATTATATAAAGTGGATTATACTTCAGAGTATTATATATTTTTGTTATATGAATTTATATTTATTATAATTACATTAAACTCAAATTATACTGTATACTAATTAACCTGCTTATCATTTACTGCATGACTCACTTAAGCTTTGTCTCTTTAGTACAAGTATGACTTATACAAGCTATCATTTACTAGCCTTTTTAGTATTTGCCCCTTTAGTATGAACGTAATTTACTCAAACTATCGTTTACTAGCCTCTTTAGTACAAGCATAACTCATACAAGTTATCATTTACTAGCCCTTTTAGTACTCGCCCTTTAGTACAAATGTAACTTACTCAAACTATTATTTACTAGTCTCTTTAGTACAAACATGACTCATCCAAGCTATTCTTTACTAGCCCTTTTAGTACTCGCCCTTTAGTACAAACATAACTTACTTAAACTATCATTTACTAGCTTCTTTAGTACAAGCATGATTCACACAAGCTATTATTTACTAGCCCTTTTAGTACTCGCTCTTTAGTACAAATATAACTTACTTAAACTATCATTTACTAGCTCCTTTAGTACAAGCATGACTCATACAAGCTATCATTTACTAGCCCTTTTAGTACTCATCCTTTAGTACAAACATAACTTACTCAAACTATCATTTACTAGCCTCTTTAGTACAAGCCATCTAAATTGCAAGTATATTACGTGAATAATCTCGTTTGATATTTTTAACCAATACTATCTTTTTAGCATAACAGAGCTTAAATTATGATTAATGTAATAATGACAACTTTGATTAATAACATATAATAAAACCCAAAAAACTGCATTTCAAAAATAGTAAATCATGCCAATAGTATCAATCTAGGAGTAATACAAACTATATAAATTCCAATTATAAAATGCCA